CATTTATAAAGCATTGTTCCTACATTAACACTTATTAGTATGCAGTTCATAACAACAGTTATAAATGTTTTACTCTTGATTAATAAGCTTGTCTATTATGTGTTTCATGATTGTGTTTTCATACTTTATAAATGATGGATTCCCCATCTGTAAATTAAGTATTATATATATTACAAACCAATTATTGAGGAGTTGCAGATGATTAATAAGCTTTATAAAGTGTTAGTAAAGGATTAAGCACTTATTTAGATGTACACTATTCATGCATTTATATATATATATATATATATATATATATATATATATATATACATTAATATAGATATGCACTAATGGTTAGGGACTATGTTAATATATGCTTTATAAACGCATATTAATACTGCAATCTATGATTAATTAGGTAGTTACTAATCATTAGTAAAGTATTTTGTGTGACCTCATCTAAAGTGAGGACTATTTATGCCTTATAAAGCATTTATTAATGACATTGAAAGGCCAGCAGTGCCTCAAAACCCATAGTTTTTCAACAGAAAAGGCAAATAGACACAACACAAAATGATAAAGAACATATCAATATTTATTGCAAGATGCAAACAATATACTCGTAAATACATCCCTCTCAGCCATTCATTCATGTAAAAAACAAAACATACAAAGACATTGTCTTTCAGGAGAACATGGCTGGATACAAAACATTTGTAAATGTAACAACTGGAGCTAACCAGGAGCTTTGCATATTAGTTTACATTTACTTATTTAATTATTCATTTCATACCAAGCATATCACTCTCCACTCTTCGCACTTTTCTTCAGTTGCATGCGCCAGTGGCAGCCGGCTGAATCTGCTCATTGTTTGCAAAAAATAATGCTTTGGACGGTGGTGGTTTTAGGAAGACATCCATGAGGTTATGATCTGATCAGCGAAATAAGTGAAATCGAGAGAAATCCCACTTTCAATACGTCATCAATGTGGGACAAAGTAAAATCCCGCTTAATACGTCATCAACGTTTTGCTAAGGAACTGATACGGAAGTGCACTTACGCGATGGAAAACTCCGACCTAAGTTGATAGGGCACGCGGAAAGACAGAAAGAAAGACTGCTGACGGGCCTCCAATGTCTGTCAGTGTGTTTCTTAGTTTACTGGCATGTAACGTTGCACATTATGGACGATGAGTATCCAGCTAGCCTTCCAGCTAGCAAATCACTAACTAGGTCCTGAGACGGCGCACGCTACCCCGTCACCTCCGTTGTAAATAGAGCAATCCAAGAGACAGTTGGCTAACTGATAGTTGATAACGACAATGTTAAATGACCATTTATCTGTTCATATAAGTGGAGTGAACGTTTTATATCCAGCCATGTTTTCCTGAAGGAGAATTTGTTTGTTTTTTTACATGACTGAATGGCTGAGAGGTTTGTATCTAAGAGTATATTGTTTGCATCTTGCAATACATATTGATATGTTCTTTATCACTTTGTGTTGTGTCTATTTGCCTTTTCTGTTGAAAAACTATGGGTTTTGAGGCACTGCTGGCCTTTCAATGTCATTAATAAATGCTTTGTAAGGCTTAAATAGTCCTCACTTTAGATGAGGTCACACAAAATACTTTACTAATGATTAGTAACTATAATTAATCATAAACACAGGAGAGGAAACAATTAATATCAGACATAGAAAATGGATCACCATTTTTTTTCTCACTCTCATGCTCTCAGGACGTCCATACAAACCAGATCAGAACATTGTCAGAATTGACTTTGCATTGGTCGTTTGTGCTTCGGAAGGCATTGCACATGACGTTGTCCTGCACTAGCTCAGACAACGCTCATATGGGTGCTTTTATAAGGCAATGTTAAAAAATGACATATTTTGTCATTTAGTTTGCTTCATACACACTCGAGCCAACATGATGTATGACAATATTGCAGTAGTTGTCTGGTGATGAGATCAATGCAACAAGACTGCATTGAAACCCCCTCCATCTCTCACACCTAACAACTCTTGACTCTTGATACATGCAGTGTAGAATGGATGATAGTATATGAGTCATGCCTTAGAATAAAACACCAGCCAATGGTAATGCATACAGTATCCACCTCTCAACACATCTACACATTTATCTATCAAATCTGATGTAATATCTCTTATAATATAGCGAGATCTGTAAGTAGGCAACATGAACAGCTCTGGATTGGCCTTTCCCCGGTCTGAAAGGGTTTATTCATGTGGAGCTGAGAGTGGCCAGAATCAATAAGAGAGAAAAATAGGAAAATGACATGGCTCTCTCCAGATGAAAGATCTAATCTCCAATATCCATTTACAGCTCAGGGCCCTGCACTAAGGCAGCAGCACAGCATCCCAGTTACAGCAAAAAAAACACAGATCTCATGGCCAGATCACTGTCCGCACTCCCTCCTAAACAATGCTGGTGATTCCGAGGCAATGTGCTTAAAGCAATTTCCCACTTTTGCTGTTGTCGCTTCCTTATATATATATTTTTTTTTTATTTCATAAGCTCCCCATTCCGTCCTCGATAATGGTGTGACTTGTGACTTGTGAGTGTGGATTTGCATTCGCGTCCCGTTTCCGACGTAGCTTTCACTTAGACGCGGTGACAATTTAATACCCTCAATATAGTAGTCAAACTTAAAGTATTTCATTTTCATTTGCTCTCCATTACATTTGCGCTGCTCTTTCTTTTCTCTCATGGCAGTGAGTATTAAAGTGGAATACTGGTGCGTCGCAGGCTCGCTGGGTCCCATTAACAAACACTGACACGCATGTATTAAAACCACGCCACATTTCTGGGGCCGAGACTTTTGCCTGCCGCTTGGTTTCTTTCTTTCTCTCCACTCCCTCCCTCGTTTCCTTCTTCATCCCTTCCTTCTGAAGGAGAGGCGCCTTTGTAGTTTCTGTCTGCTCTTATCAGTCCTGGCATGAAGCACTTGCCTCTGCCACTGTCCTCGTGTTCCCGGCAAGCTCCCACTTTTGTGTTGCCTAATGAACTCGGACCAAAATTAGACATACTCTTCAACTTTTAAACTGAAGGAGCCCCTTCAATGGTTCCTTTGTGAAGCGCTGCCACCGCTGTGAAGGGAGGATGTGTGACTGAATGTGTGTGTGTCAAAAAGTAGTGGAATGCTGGACTGTTTTATGGTAGACATGAGGAATTTAGGCTTGAGCTTCAGTCAGCCCTCAGGCAACTGGAGGAGCCTGTGTTGTCTCCCTCTCTCTTCTCTATCCACACACACACACACACACACACACACATTCAAGCGTGTGATTTTGAACATCCGTTCCTGTATGCATCCATTTCTGTATTTGAATGGCCACTGGTAAAAACAAACTTTTAAGGAGCTCTAATAAATATAAAATGTTTTTATTTTTTATTGAATTCTTGCATTTTTTATGGTTTCATTGACTCATGAGGTCCTTGGCCTTTAGTCACGCTAGCAGCTATGTGAAATATCTCAACATCTACTAAATTATAGTGAACATAGCAGTCACAGAAAATATGGGTTGGATGTATATGAAATACATTTTGGACACTAAGTCGCTCTGCTGGCTAACCTCAGGGAAACAGTTGATGATTTGAAATTAATTAGACAATTTCTAGCAAGAAGACTTTGGAACACTCCATGTACATAATATGATGAATGAACAGTACCCATTGTAACGTGCGGTGAAGAATGATGGACGACTGTGCGTTCCGTAGGCACTCATGGTCCATCGGGCCGGTCAGCTAAAGGAGCTCTTGGTAGGCCATGAACAGCGTTCCACGTTCGGGCTGGTGAAGTCTTAAGCCAGATGTAGCTGATGGACGTAGCGAGTAAAGCAGCTCTCAAACACAGCTTTTAGTTGGGGTAAAGTTGGCAAGAAGGTGGTTGTTAAGGTCGGTTGCCGGGGAAACTGCAGCATGAGGAAGGATGAACTAAAGGAGTCATGGTCAAACAGGAAGAGACAGACTCTGAGTCTTTGCTGTAGATAGAGTTGTGACGATACCGATACCAGTATCAGAAATGCCTCCGATACAGCCTAGAATGCTAGATAGCTATGCTATCCGATATCACGTTATTATGTCATTTATCATGTAATTTACACGACACATGAACAATAACAACACATGTCACTCACTACCCGATCTGTACATCCTGCCCGATTGGTACTGCATGTGTGCAAACTAGCACCACACACCTGTGGTTAAACACTCGTGTGCACCCTATTTGTCCCTAATAATGTTACATTGTGAACAACAAAACTGGCAGGAGGAGAGGTAGTTAACTATAGCTGTTCGCAGCACAGTCCTGCTTGGCTAAATAACAGAGCTAAGAGCTAACGTACGGAGGTTGTATTGCATTATAATGCGCTCAAGCTCTATTCTGTAAAAATGTGTACTGGCCAAAGCTGGCCAAAGGCCAAATGACTTTACTTGACTTAACTTTATCATGATGTGTTCACATGTGCTCTTAAAAAAACTGGAACTTGAAGTTGAAGTACAGTTTAAAAGAGATGTTTTCACAGCAATGAAAAATAAATATTAGAGATTCTAGAACATGACCTGTTTAATTTCATAACACCAGCTAAAGGCAGCTTATAATACATGATTTAAACTACTAATGCCAAGATATTTTAAATCAAAGCAAATATTTAAGTAAAATGCAATTATTTATTTCCCAGTCATTTTAATTGTTTGTTTTAATGGCTCGGTGTTGGGCAGCCAAGTTCATTTGGCCAAAAGTTTTGAGGGGTCGGCAAAGTGCAAGCTTGAAAAGTTACAACAAGTCTTTGTTGTTTCAAGTGAACACACAACATACTCTAAACCTGAGAACGTTGGCGTTACAAGGTGTCTGCTCGACAACAGAACAAACACTCCCATATTGATCGATTCATTCATCCTCTATATTATGCTTTATTTTTCATGGTCTAATTAATTTCCATTGTTTTGCTCTGTGATTCCTATCCTATCTCTTTTTTGCTCCCTCACCCTCCCCTTACAGTCACGCCTCACCCCTCTGTGTGGGGAGTATGGGGAAGGGTAAGGGAGGAGGAGAGGCGAGGGGAGGGGGGGGGATTATAAATCAAGGTAAACGGTGGCTGTTTAACCCCTGCTATGATGTCATTTCCAGCAGAGCAGCGACATGCTGGCTTCCTCCGCTCTCCTCTTTTCAAAGCCCCCACAGTACACTGCACTCGCTACCATGCATGTCACCTTTGTGTAGCTGCTTATGCCCCCACAGACACACACACACACAGGGCTCCCTACATACTACTCCCTATGCACTTGACATGTGGCTATTAAGGCAGGCTGGGGGCATATTGGGGATGAGAGGAGGGGGAGAGCCGACAACTTACAGCTGCAGAGAGAATGGTAGCACACACACACACAGAAGAGCGAAACAAGAGCACAAAAATTAAAGGTGCTAGAACACATTCACATAGTCATGGACCATGTGACATCAGTCTTCACTGATAATAAAATAAAATAAAGCAGGGGTGAGAAGAGTAATCAAAATACAACATGCACATACATTTGTGTGCTTTTACTACACGTCAGTTATTTTCTGGGATATAACAAACACAATTTCCAGAGCACATCTTTTTCACATTAACCGTCAATACGACACGTCTGCACTGTGATCAATATACTAGCTGATGTCACCTATCGACACTGTGAAGTGGCACCTCTTCCTAGTGACTGGGCATATGTTGGTGGGGGCACAGGGACTCCCCTCTCTCTCTCTCTCATTTACAATTTTACCATATGGTTGAGCGTTGGTAGAATTTCAGCTCACACCCGTTAGCCTCCAGGAAAAACTAATATTTATGACTGTTGATAGAAGTCTGAGGAGATTTACATTCACTCCACCGTTATGAATGGTAACATCACATGCATTAGATGGGATTGTGATGACTTTATGTTGTTCTCTTGACGTTGGATGACGCCTTTTTATTCATGTGAAATCTTGAGCACATTTAGACGTAAAGATAACTAACTTTGTAAATTAAACAAAACTAATTATTTGAAATTTGATCAAATCATTTGCCGGTACCTCCGCGGCCCACTAGATGGCGCTCTGATGGGTTTCCATCAGCTGCCTCGGAATACATTTTAGTGGCTTGTTTAATCCAATCCTGAGTCTGTGTGCATGAAAATAAGGCTGAACGTGAAGTTTGTTATTGATTATGCCTAATATGCTTCTGCGTCGTTAAGGGAGCGTCGGATGTGTTAACGCCTGTAATTCAGCAGGACCGCATAAAATATTAAAGCAAAGCAATATTAACAACATCCGTTTCTGTTGTAGCTACTCAACAGTTAGTTCTTCATATTTCCTCTGTAGGCCTGTTGTAAAATCAGTCCAGCATCAGCACCTGGCATTAGTGCCGTTATCTTTCTGTGGAGTGAGTAAATGTTGAAGGGCGATAAAAAAAAAACTGATATTGGCATCAAGCATGTGGTGTTTCTGCATGATGCCTCCCAGAGATCACCGGTTAGTCAGAAAGTGTGTCCACTCACAAAGAAATCCAAAAGTCCAATACGTTTATCATCATCCTGAGCATGTCCACTTTACATCACACTGACATGCTAGTCACATGACAGCAAAAGAGCAGTGACTGATGTGGGAAAGTGCGACGTGTGAATGTCATGACAGACTGATGTCAGCCATCCCTTGAACCTTTTTTTTTTTTCTCTCTCTACTGGATGTACCAACCCAATGGCCCGAGGTCTCCACCAATCCACTTATGACAGAAGGAAAAGGAAGGCAGGAAGGGAGGGAGGACAGGAGGAGACAAGGGAGCGAGGAAGCCCATTGAGACATGATTAGCGTGTTGGTGTGTGTATGTGTCCTAGCGGAAGACTGATGTGTACTTGAGATGGTATGTGCTTCGCCCTCAGGTCAATGACATTTAAAACACCGGAGAGTGTTTAAAAAAAAAGAGTAGCAGGATGTATGTGTGTGTGTGTGTGTGTGTGTGTGTGTGTGTATTCCCATAGACCTATTTAGGCTGGAGGCCCACACTGCCACTATTCTGTAACAGTATGATAAGGTTGTGTATGGTAATTAGAATCAGGTTACTATAACCTTAAAGGACATCCAAAGAACAAATGAATGGTATTGCATGTGAGTAATCTGGTCGCACCTTTTGGAAAAAGGCATGTTTTTCGAACACATTTTGCATTTTGCAAGTCCTATTACGAATGCTGTTCATCATGATCGATAATACGATACAGGGCTAGATTTATCAAGGCCTTTTCACCTGATTTCCTGGTGCAGGTGTGATGCTCTCTGCTCCAAATGCATTATTAGAGAGTTATATTTCTCTCTATATTTCTTTGCATATGCATCAACCGGTGAATCATGGTAACAGAAGTTGATTATGTATCCCGTTGGATTTACTAAGGTCTCGCAATTTGCAAACGGACGGTTTTGCAGGAAGGAGCTTCCACATCTGAAGACCAGGAAATAAATAATGAAAACACAAATTTTGCTTATAAACATAGGGCAATGCTTATTTATGCATACAATGTCAGATTACTGTAACAGTGGACGGGGAGATGTCGTTTGTTTTCATTAAACTTGAATTTGAGCTTGACCATAAGTGAACTGTAAAACCACTGAAGGTTTACAAATGCACTCTTCTTTCTTTTGATAAGACATTTAAGCGAGTGTACATTCATCTCACTACTAACAGCTGCCATATTATCACCATCCCCACCTGCTCCACCCTCAGCTGCTGCAACCGCTGCCCCGTCTCTCCTCCTCTCTCCACCAGTTGTGTTTCCTTCACGCGTCCTTAATTTGCCTCATCGTATCACCCTAACTCCTTTACATTTCCCTCGAATGTGTTTGATGTCGCTTACTGCATTAGCAGTTAGACATAAAGATTATGATATTGTACTTTGATAAACAAATAATATTTTGAATATTTGTAGTTTTTCTAAGGTGGTGTAAATACACGAATACAGCATTTGCATATTCCATCAACAACAATGCAGCGCATATTTGTGCAACAGTAAATCTGGCCCGAAGACACAGCAGCCATTCATGAGACTGTAAGCGAAATGCTAACATCAGCATGCTAACATGCTGACAATTACAATGCTAACATGCTGAATGAGTCCATGCAGGACGGGAAGGGACAGAGGACGCACATGTGTTTCTAAACATACTACAATCGATGACGGGGGACATGCAGACGTTCCAAAGATATGCAAAACATGATGGCAAACCTCCTGACAGCAAGAAGGAGAACTTGTTTGTTTTATTTTTGCTAAACAACATGAAAAGGTAAAAAAAAAAAAACACCAAGAACCACTTAGCTCATGAATGAGACCAAGGATGGGGAATATAGCACATACGTACAGTGCAGGAAACAAGAGTAGATCACTTTACTAGCGCATGTCCCTTGTGAACTTGGGCAGATGGTGAAATTTACATCACATGAAACGTTGGAACAATGAATTGCCCTTTAGTTTAGCATGTTAGCATGATAACATTAAACCAACGTATTGGACAATGATGAAGCTAAACACATTGATAGTGTATTGATTGATGGTGCTATATCAACATTCATAATGTTGAATATGACCAAGCTTTTGACTTAAGATGCAACATGTTTAACACAACGGAAGTCTTGCTTCCAAAAATATGAAGAATGATCAATTTTTGTCACAATTCTGACATCGTAATGAGTTGGTGACATCAGTATAAATTAGAGAAATGTCTTTCAAATGACACTGTTTAAAATACTTGCATCAACATGTTTTCAACTAATGTTTGGCTGTTCTTCTGTTAGTTACATTTACCAAGGACTTTGGATGACCTCTTTTCAATTCACTGCATGAACATCTTATCATTAGTCCTTGTGATATCATTACAATTGTTTCCAGTGTAAACAAATCTGACATTAGTGGATTGGCATTGTGAACAAATATATTCAAAGATAAACTGGTGCTCTGGCACACTTTTGTAGCGTGCAGTGGTGAAGGGGGGCCCAGCCGCATGTGGTGGGCCCCCAGCCCAGGAAGTTCTCTAGTATGTAAGGCAGCCTATATGCCACTGCATTGCGTTTTCTCCACTGGTAGGGCACCTAGAGGTATCTGCATCAAGTTTTCTCTACTGAAAGGACACCTTAGAGGGCTTTGCATTATGGTTTCTTCATAGAAAGGGAAGACAATACTTTTTCATACGGTCTCCACTGCACCATAGAAAGCCCTGCAGAATGTTTTCTCCGATGGAAGGGACCCGACATCACATGTTCTCCAATGGGATGGCACCCAGAGGGCCCTGAATCACTTTTTCACTGGTAGGGCAACCTAGAGGGATCTGCATCCTGTTTTGTCCACTGAAAGGGCCTATAGAGTGCACTTTATCACATAGTTACCACCGAAAAGGCACCCTTGAGGGCACTACATACCACTGGAAGCCCCCCCTTCCACAAGGGTACTGTGCATGAGACTTTTAGGATACACAGTGTTGAACTTGACAGGGACTTTTCTTGAACTTGGTTTATCACTATGAGGAAGATCAATGAAATATTTGCATCAAGTTGCTCTATTACCAGATGTTTCTAAACTTTTCTATAAAACCTTCATTTGCAGTATTTATTTGGTTGTCTCTCATTCTTAATCTGTCATTCTGTCTCTCCACAGAAGGATACTACTATCACCGCTGCCAGGGGCATGGAATGCACACACACACACACACACACACACACACACACACACAGACATACAGTATGGACAGCATACACAGGCCGCTGCTACACACATTCCCTGGCTGGGCTTGATGAATGGGCCTAGTTTAAATTATTTTGTGCAGATCTCATTTAGGCCCTTGAAGAAGAGATCCAGCCTGTTTATTCATTTCACATTTGCACCCGGGCTTCAATATCTCTGTCTATGCCTGGAAAGGATTTACCCTCCTCCCATCCAAGAGGAGAAAAAAAAGCCTGTAAAGAAAAGACAGAAAGAGACAGAGAGACAGGGAGGGAGAGAGAAAAAAGCAATTTACACAATGTACATAAAATGATGCGCTCA